TCGAAGATTGGCAATTGGTGTATCTGTGATGCACGGATGCGTGCAGATTGGTGTGGTCACCTTGACATTAAGCTTGCCAATACAGTAATGAGGAGAGAGTAATTGAGCACAAATGTGTGTGGGTGTGTGTGCAATTGTAGAGCACTGGAACTTCCAGAGCGCGGATTTAGGCGAGCGGCAACAACGAGGGAAGCCGGTAAAGGAGACGGGGACCCAAGGTGGCAAACATCTGCCGAACTTCGGACCGGCGAAGGCAGAGCGCGCCAAGGAGTGGGCGCAGGAATGCTCGCAGTCTGCCGGTGGTGCCTCCGTGGCTTTAGCTGAGCGTCAACTGGATCGTCGCCTCCGTCGTCCCAGTCCAAGCTCTTCAACTCCCACCGTCGCTGACATAATTGGGCGAGCTCTGGACAAGGTCGGGGCTTACAACGAGCTTAACAACAAGGAGCATGTGAGTTGCTTCTGCCCATCTTTTAAGTGTCCGTTCACCTCCTCGCCACGTCGTATCCATCCCGCCACCCTCGTGATTTTCCTCCATGAGACCGTATCGGTGTGTTGACATTGTGTGAGCCACCATCAGCCGGCGAAGCTAAGTTAAGTGTTGTCTCCAGTGCTACTGTCCATCGTAGGTCTGACTAGCTAGTAGTTGGGACAGATTCCCCACAGTTGGCTTCACTGCCTGTGGCAGTGCTGCTGACGAGACGGCTGGGTAGCATTGATTTATGGAGATGTGTGAAGGGTGTAAGCGTATGAGGGGCAGCGGCCGGACATGCGCAAATACAGTGCATTCTATGTGATGCGTTGTTTCGACTCACGCAGCATTGGAACGATGAAGAGTGCACTCGTGCTTGGTAATGAGAGGAGTAGGTTTCCTGCAATCTTGATGAAGGGATGAGTGGATGAGTGAATGGGTGGCTGGATGCCAGAAACAAGAGGCATGGTGATGTGCAGCAAGTTTTTTCGGCCTCCTGGTTCAGTGTGTCGAGTCTTTTGGAGTTCGTCGTTTTGGTGGCATTGCCTGGGTCAGTGGGTTCACACACGCTGTAAATTAGTGCAATGGAGGCAGCCACTGTTATTGTGGCCCATCATTGGATGCCAGTTATGCAGCAAATGTTGGCAAGTGGTAGGTGGCTGTCCTCAAGCCTCAGACTTACCTTCATCGAAATGGCGGATGGATTATACTGCATGGCATGCGCTGTGGTGGCAAATGTGTGGATGCGTGTGCGTATGCGAGGTGGGTGCGAGGGGGTTGGTGTAAGGTGAAAGCGACTGGGTGGGTGGCTGATGGTGCTGGTGACTTACTGTCGGTGGCGTCACTGCAGGTGGTGGCGCTGGTGGACGAGGAGATGTGCATCAACTGCGGCAAGTGCTACATGACGTGCAATGACACGGGTTATCAGGCGATCGACTTTGACGCAAAGACCCACCTGCCGGTGGTACGTGAGGCCGACTGTACGGGTTGCACGCTCTGCTTCTCAGTATGTCCTGTGCCCGACTGCATTCGCATGGTAGAGCGTAAGACGCCTTACGTGCCGAAGCGTGGCATTCCTGCCGCATCCGCATCGCCTGTCTCCTGATGGCTCGACTTCGAAGCTATATACTTGCCCGCTCTTGTCTTACCATTCCTTATTTAGTCTGGGGCAGATGTACATTTTGTCTTACACATTATTCTTGTGGAGGAGGATAGCGTATTACGTGGAAGAAACTTTATTTTTCATCGTGATTCCTTAGCTTCTTTGCAATCAGATCTTGATATTGTTTCTAAATAGATGACTTTAAAATTTCTTACCATGCGTTATCCCGTTTGAGCCCACTTATTCAATTGTTGCATTCTTGAAAGTTTATTGTGTTGATTTCCTTCGGTCCCTTTCCAATTAATTTTTTCAGGACTTAATTCTTCGTAATTGTGTCGGAATTTTTGTAAATTGTTTTTTGTAGATTCGTCTCTGTCATTTGTCGCATATGAATTTAACTGCTTTTTACGCACTGATACCTGTAATTTGATGCTTTCATTGGGAGAGACAGTCTCTAGCGCCTTTGGGAGTCGCCCTTGCTACGTGGTGCAGATTGGCTCTTGCCTTTTAATTATTTCGACAGTTATTAGGCCTGTCGGATTCTACTACGTTATTTTGAGTTTAAAGGTCTTATTGGTAAGTCATGCATACTTGCTTAGCTCTTTATTTTTCTGACTAAAGCTGCCATCCCTAGAAAGCGTTTCGGTGGCAACAATTTGATGATATGTTGGAACAGTGGCAATTCCATACTTTTCTCCCATGCTGCATAAGGAGTTGAATGACTTGGACTTTACTCCATTGCAGAGAACTTCCTTAGAAAATGGCTTGGACAAACTCCTGTATTTTCCGGTGTTGTCCGTTGGGTGCATCCTTTCTTCGTTAGTCACTTTAACTTCGGGCTTAATGTTGGAAAAACTCAATATTAGCCGAGGGGTGAAGTGAGCCACCCAAGTATTTGAGACATCTCTTATGGCGCCTAGGATCTTCAACAGTTAACAAACGTCCAGGATTTATTATTTGTCTCGAAGTTGAATACAAGTAAGTTAAGAGTTCAAACACCGTCATTACGAAGCACAGTAAGGAATAGCGCGTTGTTAAAGCCTAGAGCGTAATCACAATTGCAGTGGTCGGTAGTAAGTTGCGAAATGCCGTAGTTACCATTAAGTTTTATCATTAAAATTTTGCCTGTGCTGTTGCCACAAAGCCGTCAGTCTCTCCTCTTTTGCAGTACAACACGTAACACTTTGGTTAGCAATTTAACTTTTTAAGGTCCTTACTGCCATATTCTTGGTTTTAAGGTGACATTTGTGATAGCATCAATGAGGTTGTTCACTTATAAAAATGTGACAGAATTTTACCACTCGAAGTCTCCCTGTTGTTAAGAAATGTTCCGCTTAAAGATGCCCCACCACGTGTTAGTGCAGTCTAGTCGGCATATATAATGTTGGGATGGAAGGGTTAAGGAACTGCTGGGATGGTTTCAGAGCCTTTACTTTTTTGAGAAAGTACACTGGAAGAGTTAATATGTTTTCATTGTCAAAACCTATAGACAAACAGCAGTAAAATTACCACACTGGCCCTCTCCCTGGAATCCCTCTTGGTCGACTTCCTGCTTCAGCCATCAAAATGAAGGTCGACGATTAAATCTAGTTGCGGCGTATGCATAAGAGCTAGCAACGAACTAGAGAAAGAATCTTCGAGTTTCCTAGGTGACGCCTTACAACTACTGTAGCCAGATCCATAACGAA